TAGGTCTTAGGTATATATATATATATAATAACAGGGCTACATCACTGTTATCATTGTTGTATTCAGCTTCAATAATGCAGTCAAAAGCCATAATACGTTATAAAAAGATTTATTCAAAGGCAGGCCGGTGGCCACAATAGCCCACATCCCCGGGAGGGTGTGTGGACGAAACTCTGGATGGTTCCGGCAGATGTTTATTGGAACACGCTATTCAGTAAGAGACATACGAATCCCATCGGTCCCGCATTAAATACTACAGAGAATGGTGTAATAAGGTTTTAGTCGTACATACCTTTGTAACTCTACGCATTATGGAAAATCAATTAATGCTTCCTAATATGGAAGTGAAAGAGGGACAAGATTCTAAAAATAACTCCTCCTTTGAAATATAAATCTACTTATGAGTCAATGGTATGTTTTCAGCCTTGAAGTCCCAAAGTAGAATTTCTACACCTATTCTTTAACAAAGACATTTTATGAAAGCGAAAGAGTTTTAATGCTTTTATTAATACAAAAGTATTTATAATTTTTGTATTACATATATATATTTTTTAAAATATAGGGAAATTTAAAATAGTTAAGGCAAATATTATTTATGATTTCCAGCTAAGATAAAAGCGATTCCCACCCAAGAGAGAAACACATTATATTAAGTCAATTTGTTTTTGAATGATAAAAAAAGAAATAAAAAATTGAAGTACTTATTGGTTAGTAAAAATTATCAAAAGTGAAACTTAGCCTAAGTTAGAAGTTGCAAAACTTATAACAGGTCGAAAAAAGCTGATTGTAGCTACAAATTTTAAAACTATTTTTTCGTTTAATTAGTCATAGTAAACAAATTTATTGAAATACTAAAATTTGTAAAAAAAATTTAATAAGTAAAATTTATAAAGACCTTAACTTTATGCTGTATGTTTAAAAATGTATAGATGAACCAAAGATGCTTCATTCATAAAATGTTTACAGTTCATAAAATTTAAAAGAAAATCTGGATGAAAATGAGCAGTTTTTGAATTTAAAAAAAATTCAAATGCAAATGAATGACTTCAAATGAACCTTAAACTGTGTAATAAACTTTTGAGATATCTGAAAACATCATTTCCAGAATTATACAAACTTACCTGATTAGTTCGGAACGTTGAGATGCGAATTGTGCAATCGCTTGCTAAAACAAACACTGGAACTTGCTCTAATTTATTTAGTATACAGAAGCAAGCGTTTTAATTAAAGCCCAGAGCTTTGCTCAGCAAATAAATGGTTGTCAGCATCACGAAGTAATACAGCTAGCTACCAAGAAAACAGTACTATGTACTAAGAAACTAAAAAAATTGGCTAACATAAAGTTATATGGTCAAGTTATTTTAAACGTTTAGTATATACGGGTTACTTTTTCATTGGAAGGGTTCTTTGATAGAAATTAATTAGAATTTAGAAAAAAATGACGTTTTAAATCTTGTAAAAACTTCTTGAATGGAGGTTTAAAAATTTAATCTGCTTCATTGTAGAAAATTAATTTTAAAAAATAGAAAAAGAAAATAAATTAAAATCGGATTCGTGAGGTACCGTTGCACTGTAAAACAAAATCCAGAAATGTTTCTGCATGTATGGGGCAGCCACGGTGCATGCAGTTCTCAAAAGCGTTTCTGTCGAAAGAAATAGAGAGATATTAGATGTTAATTAATTTATATCCTAATTAATTCCTAACATTTAAATTGAAATGTTTCGTAACATGAAAAACTTAATTTGAAAGAAGTACAAGCAGTTCTTCTATTTGAACTGTTTTAATGATATAAGTATTCATTAACGAGTAAAATTCCTTTTTATATGTGTGTGTGTGTCACACACTCTGTATTCCTACGTTTAATATAATTTTTTTTTAGAACAGTTGATAATTTTGCCAATCCAAGTAATTTCTCGTTTCGTTACAATTAATATATAAATAAAATGTTCTTATGTAAACTTATAATAACTATATAATTTAATAACAAAATATTTTTTATTTTCGTTTTTGTGGATATATCGACTTTTAAGAGACATTAACAAATGGAAAGTAATCGCCGATTTGATGTGCGGAACCTTGGCGGGAAAGCTCAGTAAAAGAGTTCACTTTCTTCGCGCTCTTTAATTTCCCCTCACAAGTGAGGGGAAATTAAGGCGCGCGAAATATCATTGCATTTCTTTTGGTGGGAATTTCAAAATTCAATTATTTGATTTAATTAGATAGAAAACTCTTTAAATAAGTAAACATTTTATTTCTTTCTTTTCGAGAATGAGCCAAATAAGTTGTCGATAGTTCCCCCTTTCCTTTTTTTTCCCCTGAATCACTAGAATAAACTCTACAACGGTGCACTTTGCACAAGTTGTAGAGTTTATTCTCACGCCAACTCATGATGGTGAACCAATATCTCTTAGTTGGTTAGTTGGTGTCGTATCCTCAATTGAATCATATTTCATGGTGTGCTTGAATAGTTTTTGTTATTTCTATGGCATTAAAAGAATACAAATCCTCTTCTGTGGGGTAGTTTAAGAGGTGAAGGCCTGCAGCGACTGCTTTGCAGTTAAAAACATGATATGGTGTCAGTTCCACATTTAGACAGTTGTCACAGTTTTGATATTTTCTAGTCCCATCTGTAGAAATTTTCATATTTTTTATGATGTTTTGTTCTCAGTCTGATGAGAGTAGTGGCTGTCTTTCTATCGATGTCAAGATTAGTTATTTGATCGTGGGCTTTGATTTTTAAAGGGGTGAATAGTCTTGACTTTGCAAAAGCATTTGCATCTGCCAACGTGGTTGGGATTGAAATTTGATTGAGATCTCTGACATTTTTAGCCAAGGAATCAGCTATTTCATTGAACTCTAAGTTCACATGGGCTGGAATTCACTGCAAGAAGCAATATCTCTTAGTAATTAGAGATTTTAAATTAACATCATTCTATTTTCGTGCCTTCTGGAAATTTATCGACTATTAATCAGTTACTAGTTACAAACCCTTGAAATGTATTTCTTTTTATAATAAAATAGTGTAAACTACTGGTTGCCGTTAACAACTACAATATTCGTAATTGATTGAATTAGCAAAGTGATATAGTTCAGGTTCGTACTTGGAAATCTCTATATGGTAATTACTACAAAAATAAAGGTTAACCTGAGCATTATTTATATTCAGCGATGATGGTTTGTATAAGTATTTTTTGATATCTGCAAAATATCACTTATCATCAATATTTTATATGCAAACAAAATGGCTAATATTTGTTTAATCATATCAAAAAGAACGTCTAATACATTCATAATCTTATATATATTAACTCGTGAGTTTTTTTGTTACTTTTTATTCATTGACATGTAATATAGATCTATTTCTTGTATAAATAATTGTAAAAATCTTTTATGAGCGGTTTTCTATAATATCGTAAATTAAATTGAAACTGTTGAAGTTATAGTAATGTTTCGTTTGTTATTGCAGAATGATTCCATTTCAGTTGCTTTAAAATGGGCAGTATTTGATTAAGTTTTTGTATGTTCGTTACGAAACCAAATTTTATAATTAACGTTATTTTATCAAGAATAACGTTAGTTGTAAAAGTGTAACTTCTCAGATAAAAAAATGTCCTGATTGTGTAATCGCATTACGATTAAATGCTATTATTAGAATCATAAACTTTCACCATTTTATCTGCCATGTTTTGTTAGAGTTGAATTTTAAAACAAGGCGTTAACCCTTTGAATCAGATAGGACACCGGTATCTCTCTTACATATTTTTTCTGGCGTTCTAATTACAAGCAAAAAGATATTATGGGATTTAAGCATAAAAAGCAGTCTAATAGTGAAAAAAAAATCTGTCAAATTATCGGAATTGAATTTGTACTAAAATATAAAATCTAAAAAAGCAGTTTGAAAGTAAAAATTTTCAATCATATTCAAAAATTTATACATAATTGATTTTGTAAATTTAAGAAATTTCAATGTTAAGCAAATGTTTATCTTAAATCTAAATAAATGCAAATTTGAAAAACCATTGTTTGGAAGTAAGCCGTGTTCGAAAGATTTTACCTTTAATGCCAAAAAAAATGTGTATTTAGATTGGAATAATTTTCATTTTTATTGTAAAGATTACAATTTTAGAAACTTTTGAGCATGTTGAATCATGTCATCCAAATTTGAACCAGCTTTAATATGTTGCCAAGTTGAACCATAATATCGCTCTTTTAAATCAAATTTGCACAGTATTATACTTCAAAGTAACCATTATACAGTTCAACCATGTATCGAGTTTTTTGAGTTGTCATCTTATTCCTAACGGTGGTTCTCTCTGTTATCAACAGATAGCAGTATAATAAGAGGCACTCATGACTTTGTCTGGATGATACAAATGCATTGATTTACACTAATCTGAGTTGTGAAATTTATTTTATACATTTTTATTTAAACGTTTAGAGAAGAATTCTTATTAATAAATGCTGTGGTTAATATGTTATGAAGAAAAAAAATATTACATAAAGCGAATGAGAGTTTAAAAATATTCAAAACTGTTTCAGTTCGATCTTTTTAACTGAGCAACAAACTAAATCTGATAAGATCAAATCCGAGACGTTAGCGGCAGCGTGAACGTTCTGACGTCATGACATGACGTCAGAAAACTGCAAAATATCCTTTTCTTGTTTTTGTTTTTTTAGAATATAGGGTGAATATGGTATCCAATTTTTTTTTTCGTCTGCACAATTAGAACGATTTTCTGAATACAAAAATAATTAAGGTTTTATATCAAGATCAATACATCAACTCTAAATATGTGACATTTTACTTTTAAATTATCTTATAGGTACCTTTATTGTAGATTTTTTAAACTCTGTAACATACTCTACCACACCCTTTTCATGCTGGCATTCTAACTTAATGCCGCCATTATTGATAATCCCCACTGCATCATTCTGTTTACTTTAAATGTATGGTTACTCCTATTAATAGCATGTTTTCTAATGGCTGTTTCTATTGCAGGGGATGCGAATAACATGTTCCGTTGTTAAAGCAAATTGAGCTTTCGTGACTGTGCATGCATAATCAAAGCTTCTCAAATTGCTGTACCATCCTAAAATTGTTAAACGTAACATGCATCACCTTCAAGACCACTCAAAGGCAAATGTCAAGGAATAATGAGAAGTGAAACATTTCCAGCAATGATTAAATAGTTAAAGCTTTAATATTTATGAAATAGTGATATATTTTATACCATTCCATAGAGCAGTTATTTAAGAAACATTTTCGTGTAGTTTCCATTTTTCAAATTGTGTTTAAACATGATGAAACTAAGACTGTATACGTGTAAAATAGTACTGGCTACGTCCCTAGTCTGGTTCATTTGCGGTGTGTTACTTCTTATGTATTATACGGACTGTATTGGTGATAACAGCGAAGCATGCCAGACCTTTAGAAAACAGAAAATAGAAAATATTCCTGTTCGTGCCCATAGATTTCTGAGGATAACTGAGCCATCAACTACTTCCGCGGATGAGAACTTCCGGTCTTGGAGTCCAGTTGGTGAGTTTCTTTTTTTTTCCCTCATTTTTTTTCTATAAATTAATTTATTAGCATCGGAATTTCATATAAAAACCGACTACCAAAAGAAATGTGCGTTTAGAAATTACAGACAAAGAAAATGAAACTTTTTTTTTCATTCCTTACTATGTTGTTCTTATAGTCCGCATTCATAATGGGTATAATTTAGGTTATCAAGATAATGCTTCTCTGGAAGTTGGTTGTCGATGAAATTTGGTATATATCTTATATGAACCACGGAGAAATGCAGTCTGCAATAAAATTGTTCATATTCTGACGGATAGATGGAGCTTTCTTTAATTATATGTGTGTGTGAGAGAAGGTTAGTGCAATTAAGAATAGCTTAAAAAGCCAGTAGACTCTGCTATGAAATCATTGTGCACTAAGCTATAACAGAAGGGGAAAAAAAGACAATCCTTATTAAATTTTTCTCTGAACCATATAGCATACATACACAGTTTCATCAGCATCTGTCAGCCAGAACAGAATGTTCTCAATTATAACCACAATATACAGACAGAAAAAACACCCTATAACTTTTGAACTCCTGGTCGGATTTTTATTCTGTGGCAGTAACTCAAAGAAATCTTTTAAATTATATATCGCAGTTAACTGTAACCGGGCAGAATATGCTTATTTTGACGATAAAACGTTCTTTTTCTGAATGTATTCTCAATATGCATATTTTATTTTATATATCTATATTATGTAAGTTATATGTACTTGGACATTGATAAATATTACGGTTGGCATTGTATAAAAAATGTAAGTCAAACTTTGTTTTCATTTTTGTCAACAATTGGTGGTTAAGAAATAGTAAACAGTTGTTGCATTTTTATGTCACGTTTCAATGTTTCATAAAATATTTTAATTTTTCTAGCAATTCTATTAACTGAAAAAGGACGGATTATGAATTAGGAAACCATTTTCGTAAATCGTACCCCTTGCAGACCTGGCGAAAGCCAAAGGTTTTTTACTTTCTGCAAAATTATTAGCATCAAAAAATAATTTAGGTAGTTTAAAACCTATATATCATGCAAAAAATGTAATTGGGAATGATGAGTCACAGAAAAAATTTAGTGTGCTGTATGTTTTAGGCTATTCAACTCAACCATTTTTAAATTTTTTCATTTACAATTTTAAAAAATCTTACAATTATTGTTGAAAATTATTATATAATCTAAAGTGGCATGGGCTTAAAATGTGTTGGGATACCTTCAATTTATTACATATCAATTTTTTTTCTAGTTTATTACAGCACAAAGTGCTAGAAAATTAAATCCGAATATTGAAATTACATTTCATTTTGCCTAAAATCATTCTGCTGTCTTACTCAATGTACTAACAAAAAGATAGGTAAACATTAATCTCACGAGAAAGAGGCACAATAACGTAATGTCTAATATTTATAACAAATGTTCCTTATACTATTATTTTCACGGCAAATATTTACAGGTTTCAATAATGTCACTTTAACAATAAAGCCAAAATCACTCTGGAAATAAATTCGACATTTAATCATAAACGCCTTATAAGAACCGTTGTTACGTCATAAAGAGATACTTGCCATCTTACCGTTTCTTGCATTCCTATTGGGTAGAAAAAATCATATGATCCTTATGTAATCTCCAATAAACAATGAAGATCCAAATATCTTTCACTGACATCAACATAAATTTAATAAATGATATAATGGTATTTGGTTGTCAATATATCCTTTATAAAACGTATTAATAAAAAATATTTTTCTTAGTATCATTCTTTACAATTATTAAGTTTTTGCTTTTGATAATTTGATTACAGTTTGTTTTGATTCTATAATTACATCATAAAATAATAGTATCACATTACCTTGTTATGCAATTTAGTTATCGTTCTATATTTTTTAAACAAAAACAAGTTATTTTTAATCTTGTAATAAATTTTGTAAAACAGTGTTCAGTCAGCACCTGCAATAAAAATAATGGCTAAAAAAATAAATACTTGAACAGGATGCGTAGCGCTTTTTAAAAGTGCTTATTTTCGATTTTTAAAACCCCATAAAGGTGCTTTTTTCAACTTAATTTTCCCTTTTCCAAAATGAGATTTTTTTTTTACCATGTTGGTTTTAGCCACGAATCATGCAAAAAGGCATTGTCCTATTCAACGTTTTCACAATTAATTCAACCCCAATCTATTTCGGCGTTTATGAAAACACCATTAGTTGTACATGTTTGATGAAATCCTTCGGGGCTGCATTTGCGTGTACTGAACTGGATTCAGTGGGAAAGATTTTTGTCTCGCATGTGCAACTTTATTGGATTTTGCAAGATATTCTCAATTTCAGACTTCCTTTCCCGCCCTCTGGCCCTCGAATTTTAAACATTGTCAAATTTTTTTCTCTATTAGCGATAGAAAATTTTAATTTCTCTTGATAATTTCTGGCTGGTGACGCGCCATCGTCATTGTCACTGGCAAGCAGATAGTACCAGATAAAACCATCAATTGTCAAAAACTTTCCAACCCTGTCTAATTATGATACTTTTTAAAGTGCTTAAAAAAATTTTTTTTGAGTGCTTGAAAAGTGCTTCAAAGGGGCTTATTTTTTGTTGAAAAATTTGATTACACACCCTGTTAAAATTCAAAAGCGTTATTAAAAACTACATTTTCGCATTGCTAGATGATCTCCTTGGCTGTAAAAATATTTATCAGGTCTTCGTGGCTAAAAATATTTATCAAGACTTTGGTTACAATGACAAGTTATTAATCATTGCAGCCAAAATTAAATGCAAATTTAAAGGGATGTGGTCCCTAGTTTTTCAAAGTATCATTAAAAAATTATCTAAAATATGCAAGAATGAAAATAACTTTTATTTTCCATCGAATTAAAGGCTCCAACACATTATATTATTAAGATGGTTCAAATTAGCATTTGAACAGTTCGTATATTCTTCGTAAAATTTCCTCTGGCACTTGATTTGCATTTTAGACTAGGTTCAAAGTAAAAATATAATTTGATTTCCCTTCTACCAGAATCTTTTTTAAACCACGCATGCAAATAAGTGAATCGATTTTTCGATTAGATAATATTTTTGAACAGATTTAAAGAAAATTCGAAAAGAAAATATTCAAAAGTTGTTTCCTTTTTGGAAAATAGAGCAAGCAGAATATCTTATCATAGGAATATCGTAGAACTCGCATATCCTAAATATTTTTTGATATCTCAAAGAATCTTGTTGACTAGTTTTGCCTTGGCAGAAGTTTGAATATGTTATTTTTTCGTAAATCTGATTCGAATTCGCGAGGCGAATAAAAGTAATCTTAAACCCATTGCCTTGCTTTATTTTTATACAGATTTACCCAAAGTTGTAGAAGCATTTCAGTAAGTACAAGAACAGATATCATTACTATAAAAGTTTTGTTTAGTGAAATGTTTACTATCATATCAGATTAGGTTAGTTTCACAAGTTTGCTCTTTTTGCCAATATAATCCTTCCCTGAATGCAAAAATTACATTCGAAACATGTATTTTAAGTTATGCTTATTTCATATTTTAAATAAAATGGCACATTTCTAGACACAAAAGTTAGTAACATTATTTTATACAGAATATTTCATAATCAGCACTTTTATTTCACAGTTTTTAGAATTCTTGTCCAAGAAAAAAGGAAAAAAAAATGTGGTATACATAAGACTGAAAAATTTATATTTAAGTGAGGAAGAAACAAAAAACTCAATTGAATCACTATTGAGGAAGGCGAGATGGAAAGATCAAAAGTCAATTTGGTTGTCTGATGAAACTTAATGCTTTTTAATAATCACTTTTTAACTCCTAGGTGTTTCCTCCAACAATCAAACTGGTTGTAATATTTTCTACCCCATGTTTTTAAGAAGTGAATTGTTATATTACTTTCAATATTAATTTGTAACTACCAATGTGCATGCCTTTTTAATCTATTTCTGACAAGGATTCTAAATATAGACTTGGGTGAGGAATACAGAACACTCAAACAACCAGCAAACCCATAACCAATGAACGAAAGTCCGTTAAGTTGTCCCTCAAACCGCTGGTAGAGCTGGATGTCGTAAGTTCGATCCTGGCAACCCCCTAAACAGACATGTGCACGTTACAAAGTGCAAGTTAAATTTGTCGCGGTTAAAAATATTCTCACTAACTGAGATGTGGAAGTTCGGAGAGAGGGGTACCAGATCAGGCGCTATCCATATCGTCTGACTAGGGTCGAAACTGCGTGGCTTTCATGTCATGACCGTTAAATAATAGAGTCCTGAAATACGTTGTAAAATGATTGTCCATGGTTCGGCGAAGCGAGGTGATGTGTAAGTGACCAATTTTTTTTAGTGGAAAACTTTTTTAAGCATATTTGGTAACGGACTAGTCCAGTCGACGACTAACTTTAGAAACCTTTTCCTTTGTTAGTAAATATAAATATCTAAAGTGGAAAACGCGTACAGTTTAATAAGTAATAGATTCAGATTTTTGCAAAATGACAGCTTGAGGAAAAAAAATTAAAGCTATTTTCTGGAATGATACTTAAGACCTTTAACCAGTTACACTGTTGAAAAATGTCGAGCTATGTTGCACCAAACATTGGTATTCATTTGCTGGCTACACAAAGTGGTGCTCTGTTTTACTATATATTGGTGCTTTCCCTAGCTCCAAAGAAGAGAGGGTTGCACCAAAAATGGGTACTTTGAAGGGAACTAAAAGTGGAGGAAGGTTGCACCATTATTAGGTATTTTTAAAGTGCTAAAAAGCAGGGTAAAATTGCATCATTATTAAGTATTTTTAAAGCACCAAAAAGCAGAGAAAGTTACCATTATTATTAAATATTTATTAAAAAAAAGAGAGGATAATTTAAATCAAATTTATGTAAATAAAATTATAATTCAATTAATTAAATCTAGAAATGAACAAATCTAAAAATAAAATTAGTTTTTTTTATGTAATCTATATATAAATATGTATTAAAACGGCTTGAGGT